ATTAAAAATTACTTACACAAAATTAAAACCTGAAACAGACGAAAAGTAATTGAGACAAATATGGAACAATAAAAATTACTTACATAAAATTAAAACCTGAAACAGATAAAAATAAGTAAGAAATATGAAACAATAAATAACTTACTTGAAATTAAAACCTGAAACATAGAAAAGTAATTAAGAATATGTACCATTAAAAATTACTTACATGAAATTAAAACCTGAAACAGAATACATAAAATTAAAACCTGAAACAGACAAAAAGTAATTAAGACAAATATGAGACATTAAAAATTACTTACATAAAATTAAAACCTGAAACAGACAAAAAGTAATTAAGACAAATATGAGACAATAAAAATTACTTACATAAAATTAAAACCTGAAACAGATAAAAATAAGTAAGAAATATGAAACAATAAATAACTTACTTGAAATTAAAACCTGAAACAGACAAAAAGTAATTAAGACAAATATGAGACATTAAAAATTACTTACATAAAATTAAAACCTGAAACAGACAAAAGCAGTTAAAACAGAGCATTTAATAACAAGGAATGAAATCTTTCTTCATTCAAAACAAAAATTTAGAAAAATGATATCAACAAGTTCGAAAACGTCAATATCCAAAATAAAATTACGTAAAGAACCAGAAATCTCAAAAGTCGAAAGAAAATCATGATGAGCTTTTGAAAATATCAAATCCAAAATAAAATTACGAAGAGATTGAGAAACTTCAAAACTCGAAGTGAAATTAGAATGCAGTTTGAAAACTTTAAATCCGCAATAAAATCATGAAAAGATAAAAAACCTCAAACTTCAAAGTGAGATCGCAATGAAGCTTGAAAACCTCAGTTTCAAAAATAAAATCTTAAAAAGATAAAAAAACTTGAAAATCAAATTGAAATCACGAGTTGATCCAAAAACTTTGACACTCGAAATAATATTCACTCATGAAGTGAAAGCGCAACTAAAAAGTAGAAGTATTAAAAACCAATCGAATAATAAAATAAGAGAGAGAAAGAAGTAAAATCTTATAGAGTATTAGAGGCGCTATCAGTGAGTACAGGATGCAGGACACATTCCATTCACACACTCACACATATTTTAATACATACTTTAAATGCCCTACATGTACCACTCACGCATACTGTAGTACATTCTAAATGCCCTACATGTACCTCTTATTCTAAAAATGCACTCGCATATAAAACTTTGTAAAAAGAAGCAAGGGTTAGAAAAGAAAGTTGGAAGAACTTTCTTTTAAGTTTAGGGAAATTGAGAAAAAAAGACAAACTATTATTACAATTATGGGAAAATTGAAAAAAATGACAAACTATTACTACAGTCTAATATGCAAGTTAAAAAATTGTGAGAAAGATGAGTGCAAGTTAGAATAAGAGGTACTTACAATCTGCGCAAGCTTTTCGTCACAATTTGTGACGAAAAACCTGCGCCCGAGCCCACCCTTCCTCCCACAGCTCGGAATTAGTGTAAAACTAATGCAATAAATAGAACTTACCAAAAATTACATTCTGAAACATACGAAAATTTATTAACACAGAAATTTGAGAAGAGAGAACAATGTAAGAACTTACCAAAAATTAAATTCTGAAACAGACAAAAGTTATTAAGATAAATATAAATCATTTCGTTACTTTCATAAAGTAAAAATCTGAAACAGATAAAAATAATTAAGACAAACATAAATTATTTCATTACTTACATAAAATAAAAATCTGAAACAGATAATGGTACTTAAGACAAAAATGAGTGATTTCATTACTTACTTATAATTAAATTCTGAAACAGACAAAATTTTATTAACATAGAAAATTGGGGGTGGAGGACAAAAATTTCATTTCTTACCAAAATTTCGAAAAATAGAAAACGTAATGAAAATTGCGGATTTGAAAAGAGAGAACAACATAATATACCAAAAAATTAAGTCTGAAACATGCAAAATTTGATTAACCTATAAAATTGTGCGAGAAGAAGTGAAACGACATTATCGAGAAATAGAAAACACAATACAAATTACGAATTTAAGATCACTCAACAATAAAACAATTTATTCAAAATCAATTCCTGAAACAGAGAAAAATAATTAACATATAAAATTTGGGGAAATTAAAATCGTGAAGAGATATACAAATCTCGAAGCTCGAAATTTAATCGCGAGGGTATAAAAATCTCGAATCGCGAAGGGATACAAAAATCTCTAATCTCGAAATTTAATCGTGAAGTCATGCAAAAATCTCTAATCTCGAAATTTAATCGCGAAGGTATAAAAATCTCGAAATTTAATTGGGCGGGCATAAAAATCTCGAATCGCGAAGGGACACAAAAATCTCTAATCTCAAAATTTAATCGCGAAGTTATGCAAAAATTTCTAATCTCGAAATTTAATTGGGAGGGCATAAAAATCGCGGGTGGCTTTGCTCGTAAAAATTCGAGCAAAACGATACATTTTGTATCGTTCAAAAAAATACCTGTAAAACACAAGGAAATAATAGCGAGCATAGTGACAAAATGACTCTCCATCTTAAGATGGACAGCCATTAATAGTTCCCCTCTTCTTTGGCAATTTTTGCCGGGGCTCTTCGGCATATAGCCTCTTCTTTCTTCGGCAAAGCCTTACAAAAATCACTGGCGAAATTTTATGGTAACTCGGACATTCTTAGTTTTCAATTACATAAATTTTCAATTTCGCTATCAATCTTCATAAACAGATATCAGATAGTTTTATAAAAATAAAATTGCACCACTATCCATTTATTTCGATCGATAACAAAATCGAAATTTTATGTAATATATATAATAAGTTAGTTTTTTAAGAAAGAAAAATTACTCAAAATAGAAAAATATACGACCAGCGATTCTTAGAATGCGCTGCCCGCAAAAGAATGTCCGAGCAGACTATTTTATTTCACTGCACTTACAAACTAAAAGGACTGGCCTGAACGAACAATCGAGTTCAAGAGATATTAAATATATTCATATTTAATTTTTCTCTTCTCGATTTTTCGTAAACCCCCCAGATGCAAGCATTTCACGTGTGAGAGAGGAGGACAGAGAAACATGAAAGCTTGCTCTGGCCCTACCTACTTAAAACTAACTCAATCACACCAGAAGTAAGCTACCTGCCTGCCTATCGCTATATTTAAAAAATTGCAAAGTCCATTCTCACAAAAACACACTCCACGGTTCTCACACATACCACCCGGGTGCAAAAAAGCCTAATTCTAGGGAGTACGTCCCGGGACGTCTCCGACACCCGAGTTCAACACAACATTCACACTCTAAGTTCATACCTTTTTGCTGAAATCGATCGACAATCGACAGTGAACATTGAACATATTTCATTTTCGTACTCTTTCGAATATTCAATGCAATATGTACATGTAATAATTTTAACTACTCATACAATTTTGTAACTTATTCAATTTATATAATTTTCAAATGACTCTAATTGCATTTTGCATGCATCTTTAAATAAAATTTTGCAAAATTTTTAGAATGATTCTATAGTTTGTAATCGACACAAGATCCACGACCTAACCACACACACACACACACACACGTGTAACTTGTGTCGATAATTCACTGTCAATTTGTCGATCGCCAAAACATCTTAAAACTGAACCGTGTCCACCTGCCCTAACCCATGCGAGAGCATCTAAGCACGCGCATGAGTTTAGAGCATAAAAATAAACACGGCCACATTTTGACCTACCAGTTTTCTTCATGTGTGCTGAAAATCCTGAGCTAAAAAACACAATTAGAAACATACTAATAAAGTGTCTCCCAAAAAATTGACTCTAAACTTTCAAAATGGAAAATGGAGAACACTTTGCAAAAATATAAGTATCGATTGTTTCATTCTCAACAGATTTTTAATATCAAAGTAAATATACTAAATGATCAAATCAGAAACATTCATAATTAACTTTGATATCAAAATCTGTTTATCGCGAAACTTTCTTGTACATATGTATATTTAAAAAGAGTCGATACGCGTACAAAAAGAATTGAAAATGAATCTATAATTGAACTACTACGAAGTCGGAGGGTCATCCGACTTCTGTGAATTAATTTTAATTTGATTCGTAAAGAAGTTAAGTTAAAACGCGATGTACAAGAAAACCCTGACCTGAGCTAATAAATATAATAAACAGTTTGTACGAATTTTGCACGATCGTACAGTCGTGGTCACTATGCTCGCTCAAAAATATAAAATACAACCAGTTCCCGTGTCGCTTCGGACCATTCGTCCTACGACATGATGGGAACCGGAGGAACCGTAAAGCATGCGACTCACCGATCGTTGACTTGCATCACTGCGATCGTTTTACCGGCAACGCATCTGATTGATTGGCTGCTTGGTTGATTGACTGCTTGGTTGATTGTCTGCTTGGTTGACTGATTGATTGTTTGGCTGCTTTCGTCAGATTTGGATTTGGCGGTTTGTTCGTGAAGTTGGTGCCCTTCTGTAATCATCAAATGAACACAACGATTAATAAACTGTTTTTATCGATTTGCATTTTGATTAACATGCAGAAGTACAATAACTACATTACAGAATTCGGTTATAAATTTGCAAACGTTTGTCAATAGTAACACCGTGAAATATTGTAAAACTTTTCAAAATGTATGTCAAAATACTTGGGTAATTTTACTTGTAGAACATGTTAAAACGTTTGCAAAAATATACCGGAACATGTAGCTAACTACACTTTAAACACCAGTAACAATTTGCCAAAACATTTAAATAACTACTACATAAAGTACATTAAAATATTAGTAATTGTTTGTAAAAACATTTAAATAATCACTACATAAAGTACACTAAAGCACTAGTAACAGTATGCCAATACCCTTAAATAACCGTTTCAAAAAATACATTAAACCATTAGTAACCGTTTGTTAAAATACTTAAATAACCGTTGCATAAAGTGCACTAATACCCACTAACAGTTAGTAAAAACATTTAAATAATCATCCACAAAATAAATTAAAACACTAAAAAATTAATAAAACAGTTAAATAACCGCACCATAAAACATACTAATGTATTCGTATACACGTGCACAATCACTTAAGAAAACACACAGGTAAAGTCACTGACACTTGTAGAACCACACCATAAAATTTGTTAATACACCCCCATATTTAATAAAAAATATTAATTAAAGCACATTAAACACTAGTAATAATACACTAGGTACACTATTATATCCGTATATGCATGCAGGTAACACACTGTTAAAGTCACTGACACTTGTAGAATCACACCATAAAATTTATTAATACACCCCCATATTTAATAAAAAATATTAATTAAAGCACACTAAATACTAGTAATAATACACTAGGTACAGTAATAGTATATGCATGCAGGTAACACGCTGTTAAAGTCACTGACACTTGTAGAATTACACCATAAAATTTATTAATACACCCCCATATTTAATAAAAAATATTAATTAAAGCACATTAAACACTAGTAATAATACACTAGGTACACTATTATATCCGTATATGCATGCAGGTAACACACTGTTAAAGTCACTGACACTTGTAGAATCACACCATAAAATTTATTAATACACCCCCATATTTATTAAAAAATATTTGTTAAAGCACACAAAACACTTATTAAAGCACATTAGGTAACACAGGGACAAGTACAGTATCGGTTAAGTAAATCCTTGACTCGTACCGGTAAATGTTGACAGCAATCGTCCGATCTCCTCGACTGCCGAAACACGACTGAACACGTTTGACCTCCTCGAGTACAACAACCATTGGTAGTTTACAGCAGCCAATTAGACATTGTATAATCCACCAATAGCGCGCAATCATTCTGATTGGATGTCGTTTAATTATTCTAACGCTAATTTTGTTATAATTTTATATTTTTCGATTGTTTATTAACAAATTTATTGTTACAACTATTTAAATTTATCATTTTTTCTAACTTATTCTTGCAGATATGTTGCGAAATGATTGTTAATTAATACATTACGATATATTTTATTGTAATTAATAATTCTTTAGTTATTTATTTATAAAATTGTTGTTGTAACTATTCAAATTCGTTGTTTTTATTAACTCATTCTAGCAGATATATTTCATTGTAACTCATTATTATATAAATTAATTATTGTAATTCATTATTTTTATAACTTTCTCATATCTTGTAAATTATCTATGAATTATTCTATTCAAATTTATTTTCATGTAATTTTTTGTAATTACTTATAACCGAAGAGATTCAGTACAGTGTGCGAATCGTTTTAAACACATAATAGTTTCATATTTTTCGAAAAGTTTCATTCTTATATATTGTTAAAAATGCAAATTTAAGCGCGGTTTTTAAAAAAGTGACGTTATCAACGAAAATAGTACAAGCGCCATCTCTCCGGCGAACCGGTTGAACTACACATTTTTGAAACTGTAGTTTCGTTAGTTCTCCACATTGCCACTGCACAGCGCCACGTGTATCGTCTTCCGTTAAATTCAATTAAATTGGTCGGGTCCTCTGTCTCTTTCTAGGAGGTAAGTTCCCTTGTTTGGTACAGATAATATAAACTTGAATTTTACTGAAATTATTAGAAAAGACCGTGAAGCTGATAGAAGCTCAATTAAAGCAAGATTTCTGATAATTATCTAGTCAAAATCGACTAATATTTTATTTTATTGGCGGAGTATAGAGTTTGTTTTTCTATATTTAAAATAGTCAATTAATTATAACTTTTAAAACTAACTGATTTATTAAAATTGATTTTAAAATACGTGATTCTGAATTCAGATTTGATTATGGAATGAATAACGAACGTTTTTCTTTTAAAAATATAATTGAACATAAATAAAATTGAATATCAAATACAAATAAAATTCTTCTTTATCGACGGCTTGAAAATAGAATTCCTTATGACCGACGACGACTCCGATGATCACCACAGGATTTTATTTATGCCACCTAGCGACAGAACGTAGGAACTAATCGAAGTAGTGTTTCCAGGGCGTGTAGTTCACCCTGTTCGCCGGAGAGATGGCGCCACTAGTATTTAAAAAAAAAATATAAAATAAATATAAAAAATATCAAATTACATCGGAGAGCGAAAGTAATTAACTTTAAAATGTCTAGACTTTACTAAACTACTATAAATTTTAGGCGAAACTTTGGAATACTGTCATGTTTCGATTCTGGACAAATTTTGCAAACAAGCTCCTTTTTTTAAAAGGAAACATATGTGGGAACAAAAAAATTCTTCTATTCCAATGTTATTCCTTATATTACCGGAAAGATTCCATATAGTGTGTGAACTGTTCTAAGCACACAATCGTCCCACGGAATATATTGCGAACATTTTCATTATACATTAACATTATTCAGTATTGCTGTCTCAAAACTATAACAAACCTACTCAGACTTGTATTTTTTAAAAAAAGTTTACAATGCAACGAGTTGCGGCTCGATACATTCTTGAAACATAGTCACTATTATAATAATTATTTGTCTTTATTGTCGAACATTATTTAAGAAGTTTACAATTGAGGATCATCTCCTTTTCATTCGACGAATTGATCCAATCGTGATTACAAAAGCGTGCATGACAAGAACATTGATCGCAAGTAGAAGTGTATGTAAAAAATATTCCCGTTTTATAAAAACGAATATATTTCGTTAGGAAATCTTGTATTGTTAATAATTGGACGGTGAATCACTGAGATATATGTTGTATTTTTTAAACTTGGCCTCGTATTTCTATATATTTTACTTTCGAACATTATAAAGCGTAAACACTTTATGATACGTTTAAAAGACTGTCTAAACATTTGTTCCCTTAAAACCTTGATTCTTGTTGAAAAAATAATGATTACACAGTGTAACGCTATCGCATGGCTTTGACTATAAAACCGCGTGGAGATTACGCCTTTCTTATTTAATAATTCTGAAACAGAGCAAGATTCAAACCAACCAAACAAGTATATACAGCGTTCAGAAATTCATTGTCTACAATATTCGCCATGGGCGAGCGAACGAGGGAAAGATAAGGGGCCAGAGAATAAGTCAGTTAGAAAATCACAAGAGTCTAATTTATTACATTGAATAGGTGCTGCATCGTGAGAGATCTCCTAATTCTCAAGGATCAAAGTCACGTTCGAAGTTGAGAAATTAGCAGATCTCTCGCGATGCCTATGCAAGAGCATCATAAACTCGATGGTTGCCTAGCCTCGTTAACACGGGTTGTATTTTCGCAGATTCTCTGGATCCACTCTTTCATGTATGCACGACCAGGACCAGGAGAAGGAGACATCACCGGACGGGACGGACACCACCACCGTTCGACCAGGGAAGGACCAGGGATGACCCAGGGGGAGAACCCAAATTCCAGCGAAGGGGGAATCAGCCGAAGTCGCGCGATTTCCGAGGTAAATATCGAGTACCAACTTGATCACACGATTTTTCCTAACATTCCTCAAGTAAAAATAAAGTGTTTGATAACTGTCTTGTATATCGCGCCATGAGCAGAGTGCTTTAGCGCTCTACGAGCACCTATTTACGCCTTCTAAAATTTGTAAGTATTCCCACACCACTCACATGCATTACGCAGTATACAAAAGGGTCTGGCCGAATAAGGTAGTCCAACGTGTCCTTCTGCCAGATGAAACACCTTATTTCATCCGTGAAGATAGTAAGAGGGAAAAAACGAAATTCCGATTTTTGGCCCATTTCTCCTATTTAATTTTGCACGAAGATTCTGAAAAAATTCTGAAACATTGAGGTCCATATAGCGTACATTATAAAATTTTTTCAGATTTTTTTATCTCAAAATGTGGTCGGAAAAAATCGAGAACCGAACAAACATCGAAAAAAATACGAATTTTTATTTTCGATGACTCTTCGATGCCGATATATTTCTTTGAAAAAGTATTTTCCGCTTCGAATATGCCTGCCTTTTTTTATCAGTATATTTATTAGGTAATCTTAAATAGATTGGCATTCGTGCGACCATATTTTGCGATCAAAAATTCTGAAAAAATTCTATAATATGGGCTATGTTTCAGTAGGGACCTCAATGTTTCAGAACTTTTTCAGAATCTTCGTGCAAAATTAAATAGGAAGAATTGGCCAAAAATTGGAATTTCGTTTTTTCCCTTTTACTACCCCCATGGAGATAGGATGCTTCATCTGACAGAAGGGCACATTCGAGTACCTTATTCGGCCAGACCCCCTGATATCGAAAGATTCCTAAATACATTTTGGTTCGTGCTCAAATTTTGTTTTCATTGTGTTACAACGAGGTTTCATTACAATTAGTACCGTAGTATAAAATTACACACGTGTTTCATCGATAAAAAAATGATTCAGTCACTGAAAATAGTTCTCTATCGTTTCTCTATTCTACATAAAAACTCTTCTGATCTTTTAGGCAGGAGGATTTTTTCAAAATTGGAGGGTCCCGTAACTAAATTACTTACTAAATTACTTAATGTCTTACAAGTAAATCGCGCGTACGTAAAAATGTTTAACTAAATTTTTAAGTCATCGACAGGCAAGTTATGGTAATGTATTTGTTCCATTTGATCAGTACTGATGGGAATAATACGAAATTACGCGATCGAGTTATCGAGACAAAATAGACGATGATGCCTACTTCGATAGGTATTCAGCTTTAACATATACGGAAGTAACATCATTGTTTCAGCAAACGTCAGTGACTAATGCGCATTATTATCATTAGCACAGCGAGTACGCTGAATACTTTGGTGAGTCGATGTAACCAATGGAATCTGAAATTGACAAAATATTCACTGAAATCATAAAATATCCAAATATTCAACATAATATTTATTATACGGGAAAAGAAAATGTCAACACTTATATGGATAGAATTCTTTCATAAGAGCTATTACGATCATAAATGGATTTTAACCAGTTAAGTGTGTTTGACGACTATATCCGTCATGGAGATGTGGCAGAATTTTGTGTCATGACGACTATATCCGTCACGCTGTAAAATTTTGTTACAATTTGATATTTAAATTGTAATTTTGGCGAAAACTAAATTATATTCATAAATTGTAATATGTTTAAAATGTTTAGAGATCAACACGAAATGAAATAAGCAAATAAAAAGTGTAAATGATTTGAGATGGATTTATAAATTCTTGAGAGCTAACTCGTCATCGCTTGATTATCGCGACCCACACTGGTGCGTGCTTTGCAAAAAGATCGCCACAGTTAACTGGTTAAGGTTAATCTTTCACCATTTTTTTTTACTACTGTAAAGGGTCCACGGTAGTGCTTGTCAAAAAGTTCACGGACATTGACGTTCACGATGGAACTTAATACAGACAAAAATGAGATCAATATTGAATTATTGAGAACAATATGAAATTTTTAAGTTTGAAAATTTCAGAATATTGAAATATACAAATTCTCCATATAAAAGTTAACACTCTTTCTGTATACACCCTAATCTTAATTATACGTACATATGCAGCCTACTGCGAGCCTCTTTTAGTGAATCGGGAGTATCCTTCAGAACGTATTTTCTGACTCCTAAGACGTAGTTTCGTATATAAGACTCCCAATTCAGACCTTCCGTGGTCACAGTGAAATTATTGCCATCTTTCAATGACTTCAGTTTCTTCGCCATATCGATCACGTTATCGTTATGGAACGTCCATTCGTTTACTCGGAAGAATTCTGTTGATCTGGCAATGCGTTTAACGCTCTCCATTCTTTTCATCAGTCTGAAATTATGATGATTAAACGAATTAACGTTAAAGTACAGTAATGTGTTTTAACGCATTTTATTTGTAGTTATGTCTTGTTGTTAGTGAATGATATTAGAAATGGTCACAAATGTTACGATTACCCTATGTACACCAATAGTCCAAGGTGTCCAAAAATAATGAGTCACTATACCAATTTTCATAACTGTCAAAGGATAAAGTTTGGGATACAGTTACTACTGTAAACGAATCGATACGTACTTTGGCGTACCACCTGTGAGCCTCACAAATATGTCGGTCACGAGGGCAGGTAACACTCGCAGAGAGATCGTCGAAACATTGTGAATAAATCTGTTCGTTCTGCATATACTGCATGGATACCACATTATATAATTCGATGGTGTTTCGATGGAGTATTTTACAATGCCATCGTTCAAGGTACCCCAACTGAAAATGACAAAATAATAATAGGGTAATATAGAAATTTAGAAATTTGAAGATTTGGTAATTTTGAATTTTTGTAGTTCAAATATTTGACTTTTAGCGAAAAACATCGATACAATTGGTTAGTTGGATTTTATATTTTGCAATAAAGATAAGATAAAATTAGTGGGTGGAAATATTTAAATTATCTGCATAATGAATATTACCTGAGATGATTCGATCCAGTCGTGCAGTTGTAAACTTTAGTCGTATTACTTTGTTGCATTGAACTGTGCCACGCGGCGCATATTAAAGTATCCACAACGATATCAACAGGTATAAGATCCACCCTCAACTTCGGATTACACAGAAGCGATGTTACGTTACCGGTGCCGACTTTCAAGACCATAGCTGAAAAATATATCAAATTATCACAATTAATACATTTGAAAATACTTGAAATTTACAACGAATTTTAGATTCCTAAATCATTCCCAGAAATCAAAATTTCTAAGTTTACAAATTGCCTAGTACTTAAGTTCCTGAAAATTACCCTAAAATTTCTGATGCGTCCAACTCCCCAAATTCCTAAACTCTCAAATTACGAGTACAATCCAAATATTGCTCTATAATTTTTTCGAACAAGTAATTTATTTTAAGCGGAAATACCTGTTATTCCGAATACACCGTCCACCCAACCAGGAGTCGGTTCCTTATCCGCGGATCCAATAATGCTCGGTCGCACGATTGCCATCGGCAAATCCTTTGCATTATCCAGTATTATTTGTTCCCCCAAACCTTTCGTGAAGGTGTACGTGTTCGGGTGATGCTCTAAAATTTTGTTCTCAAGAACATCGAGTATACTACTGTCCAGGCTTTCGCACATATCGATCATCGTCCAAGGTTTCACCCGTGTGCTGCGATATCATTAATAATAAATGAATATTACATATATCCTAGAGTCGCTATGGGTGAAGTTTTAAATGGGAGTGTACATGGGAGGAAAAAAATTTTCCCTGAGACGAATTCGGGAATTTGGGGAAGGATTTGGAGAATTTCAGGATTTAAGGAATTCGAGTCTTTAGAATTTATAAATTTGCGAAATTTGAAGATTTGAAAACTCGAAGACTTGATGTAGAAAATCTGGAACTTGGAGAATGTGATAGTTTTAGAGTTTGATAAATCAGTGTTATTCAGAAATGTGAAAATTTCAGAATTTGAGGATTCGGGTACTTGTGGAAATTTAAAAATTTGAGAATGCTTACGGATAGATGACTTCCTTGATTTCTTTTCGATCCGGATTACAGTACGCTGTGCTAACGTGGATGAGACTAACCAAATTTTTCATCGATTTGCAGAGTTGTATGATACGATCGGTGCCTTTTGTATTCAAATTCACGGCCACTTTCAATGGCTCATCGAATCTCACCGTGGCAGCACTATGAAACAGTATATTCACCTTTTCTATTAGCAGCTTTCTGTCTTCTGGTGATATACCCAGATCATGTTGGGCAACGTCGCCCTTGATAGGACGCACTTTGTTCAAAAGATTTGTCGGACGAATTTTATCGAATACCTGTAAAATATCACGTTCTCGTTAAATGTATTCATAATAATTTTTTCTACGATATTTATATTTAATGTGTAGAATATCTCGCAGTAAGTGGCGTTTTATATAATTACGAGGTTAATGTTTTTATCTTGGTAATTTATCTTCGCATGTAAAATTAACGATAAACAATATTCATTTTCATGTTTATATTCTATACAAAAAATGAAAGCAAAAAGTTTTCTGATATTTTGAACATTCAATTGGTGTAACAGTACTTGTCATGCAATATTTATACAGTTTTCTAGTTAGTATTCATGAGTAGCTGAATTACTGTGCGTCTCAATTTTCTCATGAATTGAATTACTCGTTCATTACAATTTTAATGGCTAGGTTAATCACTAGGTTAATTACTGCAGTTCAAAAATATACATATATCCTAGTTAGCAGGATGTAATTTTACAATTTTAAACTCGTCTGCGATATCAAAATGAATTGATGAAGAGATGAAAATTGTAACCAAACTGAGCAGATTTAATTAAAATTGATTCAGTAGTTTTCGACTGAATCCCAGTTAGAAAATTTGTAAAACTGTTGTTTATGCTTAGACATCGTAAAAATAGAGTGCATCCACAATCCTGTTGACTTCGTAAATGAACTCCACGTAAATGAACTCTAAGTCTGTCTACGTAAATGTTCGAGTTGATACTTCCGAGGAAAGTGTTATTCAACAGTGTATCGTGATTACCTGAATGTTACGTTCAAACTTTCACATCTTTCTCGTGATCAGATGCTATGTGCTCGATAGCAAAATACTCCATTAATCTAATTCTTCATCGTAAATTTAACAATTTTCTTTGCATTCCTATTACATTTCTAATCTCTGCAATAACACTTTACTTATCTTTACATTACTTATTTTTCCATAATAATTTTTGATACACAGTTTCTGCATATTTCATCAGTATCGCAAAGATATAAGGGGTTAACGAATTAGAATTCGTCCTCTAAATAAGATTATTCAAATCGGAGTAATCTATCGAGAAATATCAAATACCGGAGTTAGATAAGGATGATGAAGTATGTAATTTGCATACCGGTTCCTGCAGGTAGTTTTTAAATCGCTGTTCGATCGTTTGGTCACGTTTCGGACGAATTAGGATGAAAATCATGGCCAAACGTGGACAGGCTCGAAGCAATTTCTCCACAAGAGCTTTCCCCACGAAACCGGTCGCCCCAGTTATCATCACAACCGAGTCCGCAAAAAATTCATCGATGGAATTGCCGTTGATGAACCTTTCATTATTTTCTTGTTTCGGGCTGGCTTGTGCACTTTCCGGGCCCATTGTGAAGATTCTTCAAGCAATACTTGACTCCAGTGCCTACAAAATTCAATAATTCTGATCAAATGATTGATTTGACTAAAGAGTCAGTTATTAAAGTTTCAGTTAAAGAATGCTTCCATCTATCTAGCTTACGTTTATGATCAAAGTTCTTGGGTCGAATATAATTTTAATAATTGAGGTAGATATGGTTTTCTAAAAACCGATAATTATAATGGTATCAATTTCATCAATATACAAATAAAAAATATACTTGCAAAATTAAATATATACAATTGTAATGTAATGGTACATCTCATACAGATATTACTGTGATTACATTGTGTTTACGTTAAAGTTGCAATGTATATATTATCGAAACATATAATATACATGACATATGACATAATAAAATAACACATTAATGGCATAATGTTATTAGGTTAGAATATAGTCATTAGTCAATATGATTCGTCGATGATCGTCAAAATATATTGATCCTATATGTCCTTCGAAGACAATCAGCATAATTGGTAAGTTTGTTAAATAATTATGGGGCATCCACAAAAACAGAAGTGAATTTAAAACGCAATTTTTATTGCGTCGAATAATTGGTGAGGTCACACATTTTCATTTGAAAGGAATTATCCTTGACAGAAATCAAGAATATGCGGAGGTATGTATATAAGTTGACATTTTGATTAAAAATCGAATATCTTTGGTCTAGTATCGTTACCATAGTTTTGTAACACGGCTCAATATTTAATTAGCCAATCTATTCAGGCAATAAGACGAAGGTTTACGGGAAATAGTACAAGACAACCTTGTCCTAAAAGGAAGGAACATCGCACGAGGTGAACAGTTGCTTTCTTCATCGAGCAGAGTGAAAATCGCCTCTTGCTAAGTGGATTGCTACGCGAGAAGCTTTAGTAGTCTTATCACTGTTAAATATTAGCAGATTCTTCGACGATCTGTCAGTCTTCGTTACATTGATTGCCCACAAAAAAAGCAGCAAAAGACGACTTTCTGTGAACACTTTTTTCTTTCGCAGTTTTTTCTGTCCTGGTATGAAATTTGCAGGTTTCAAAATTTAGGAGATTTTGTATTTGAAAAATTTAGGAACTAAGAATTTTAAAAATTGTAGCTTTTCTAGCGAATGTAGCTTCCGAAATATATAAATTATCAAATTTTATAACTTACAAATTATTCCAATTATTCTTCGCGAAATTCGATTCTGTTTTGCAGATCAGATGAGATTGGAGAAGATTCTTATCGCGATCGTATAAATTAATATACGATGCATAGAAGATAATGGCATTTCTGAGTGATTGACTTTTTCTTTTCGAGTGGAAGCATTACAGAAAACGAATTGATAATTCTTTACAAGTGGTACGAGGGGTTATCGTTTCTTATCAGCTTCGCAATACTGACCTATCTCACAAACACATTTATGATACATATTAATTCATATTACAAATTTTTAAACTTTTACATTTTCTTACAAATTTGATAATGTATGTTAGTACAACTCGAGGTGATACGATGTAACATATCACCTAGCGGGAGGCATAAGTAGAGTCTACTTATATTGTCAATAATATCGACTTTCGCTGTAGACTCCGCAAACTTCAACGACAAAATTAGCTGTAAAATTATTAAATAAACTATCACCTTTCAAAGAGATATCTTTTTTGCTCAAGAAAAATATGCCTCTGAAAATATCTGTTTTGTAACTTTTGCTGCTAAAACGCAGGTGCTCCTAAAGAATTGATCGACATCATACTTGAACATTCAAGATATTGATCGCTCCTCCATTTCACAACCTACATATCGTGCACACATTTCACAGATGATACACGATTAACCTATTAATCCGTACCATTTTATGTCGTTCGTCATCGTATTCTCATATCGTTTTACTTCATGGATATTCTTGTAAGTTATTTACTTTACTGTACTTGTGATATCGATGACCAAAAAACCTTGATACGTTGTACGGATCAATGTCCTGAGTTGTACAGGGTCATCATTCTGTAGTGGAATTATTCGTGCTTATAAAGTTTATTTGTACTCATTTTTTTGAGTTACAATTTTTAGTTGAAAGCATTGAATTTGTATTCTTAAATCTTATTTTATAGGTTAAATCTTTATTTTGAAGTACATAATGATTAGCCAAGGTATAACTCTATTTTGAAGAGTTAATTTATTTATACAAAATAGTTGTTTAAAGATCTTTAATTGCAAAATTAATTATGTAAAAAATGCAGGAAATGATAACAAGGTGTAATTGATGTACCTGAAATGTATTAATATAACAATTGTTAATAATAACAATTTTGCATCACTTGACAAATACGAAGTTTTGTAACAACATGAATGTCACAAAACGTTGTAAACAAATACGTGAAAGATATCTTTCACGCGTTTAGGAGTAAATTAATTCGAAATTAACAATTCCTGATATCCAAGGTCAACATGTTTGAAGTTTATCAGAATACGTAGCTTAGAAAATAAAAGACGCGATAAGTCAATGGTGAGAATTCAGTGTTTACAGAGATCATAAAAAATAGATTTATGAGTTTTGTTTATTCATTACTCGTTTAGCATTGAAAAACTTTTTTTTTTGGAAATTCTGGGAACACTCGACTGACCACGAGTTAAATTATGAGAAATTAATACATTCTACTGGTTCCACATTTTGTAATCGTTGCGAACGAAATATGGCACGTGGACGTCATTTGTGAGAATTCGAAGATTTCAGTAAAAACCTTGATAGTCTGGTCAGAGACCTCGATTCGCATTATTTTTTCGATTCATATTATTTTACGTTACAATTTTGAATCATACGTGACGTATAGATTAAAAGAACGCATCGATAACAAAATCCAATTTAACGTCAAAGAAAAATGTACATTTTATGCGATATCTAGTCAAATAATTTATCGGACATGATAATTCTAGAAGTATTTGAGTGGTGATAAAACACGAGTAGCTGCGAAAATTTAATTTAACATGTGCAATGTCATATGGAGATATTCGAATACTTATCCAAATAAATTAAAATTGCACAAATTTCAGATTGAAAATGATTGTCGAATGATAGCGAGTGTGTCAATTGTGATCCGGACCTATGGCGAACGAGTAGACATGTATCTAAAATCTAACAGGTTGCCTCTTGTTCCTTCCTGGCACGCTCAAGTGTGCTTATTTGACATACGATAATTTCAGAATGGAAGAGAAAGTGGACAAGAAAAAGTGGACAGTTATCCGATAAATCGACCTATTTTCCTCTTTACGTATTACGACAATAGAGTATTATAGCATCTATTGTTAATTCTGTAAATCGGTTTTGAATTGCTTCTGCATCTTTCTATCGGTTGATCTTTTTAATTTGTTTTGTTTGGTAGTTAAAATAAGTGTGGATGTTGTTTTAATATATTTATAAGTCTACACTTTTTATATTTATATTTATAAGTCTACATTATATAGCTCTATACCCTATATCCCCATATTCATATCTACGTCACCTCATCTTGCTACATCTCTAGATCATATTTCCTCTACATCTCCATTTCTCTATATCCCTATACTTACATTAACACGAATATATTAACGAAAATATTCTATCTAGTATTTGAAGTTACGAGCAGCATTAATATTATATTTATTTCGCTAATGTATTAATACTACTCAATTAGAACACATACTTCACTCGCTCGTTATCGCTGCTTCACGCATTAAGAAAGAAGTATCGTATTTCTTCGTTTGAAGTATTGCATATTATAATTAATCACAAAAGTAAAAACAGTAATAACAGCCTGATAGCGTATAATTGTAATTATTTAGAACACGGTGGTTTTGTTATCGAATCTCTACCTCGCGCGCGTTACCTTGAGTGTGTCAAATATAACGTTACTTATTATCCTTCAATCATTCAATTATTTTTTTATCACTAAAAACGTAGCAAGCCTTGTACCATATGTTGTATAACCCAAATTTTCTTCTGGCTATAATTTTAGTCGAGCAATAATGTGCCAGTATTAAAAAAAATTTCATAACACTAATAGCTTGTAAATCATACGAAGTTATCAAATTGAAACCAAACTGAAAGGGTTCATTTTCATATTGCGCAACTCACCCTGCCGAACGCGACGTAACGATTCCTTGTTCGTATCATTCGAGATCGAACAGAGTATCACCGATTCCGTGTACGAGTAATCATAAAAATCCGCGAACGAGGGATTGTTTATTCTTGAACATCGCATTTGAACATCTCAAGGTTTCACCTAGTAAACGCACCACCCTTTGACCTGTTTTTCTCTCGTGTTATAGCTCTCTCTCCCTCACTCTTTTCTCGGCCCGAAACGAATTATGTATATACACGCGATACTCGATCGAGAAGTTTCCGTGACGATAGAAGAGTCGCGACTGGCTATGTCGACGATTCGACGAACCACCCTGTAATGCTGGCACAGCTGACACAACCAGTAGATGCCGACACTCGTAGGGGTTGCTTTTCGGTTAGGGGGTTAAAATACGGATCCTGATGATACGGTGATTTGGTAGCAGCTGAGAAGACTTGGAGAAGGATAGAGATATCGTTGAAAGGATAAAGATAACGTTGAAAGGATAGAGATAACGTTAGGGGGATAGGGATACCCTGGAAAGGACTGGGGTCGTTATAAAAAGGACTTTGTAGGACACGTAAAAGTTAGACGTAAATTTCTTTTCAGTAAGGAAGAGGAGAAATTGTTTATCCTTGATTTTAGGAAAATTTTTCAAATATCCACTTTCAAATTTGTTCATTTTCCCAATGTTTACAGTTTTCAATTTTTGAAATTAGTAGACTTATAGAGTGTTAATTTAAAAATTTGCAGATCTACAAATTCCCATGCCCTAACACCTCAAATCCCCAAATTCACAGATTCCTAAATTTTTGAATTTCTAAACACCTAAATTCCCAAATCGCCAAATTGCTAAATTTCCAAATCCCCAAATCCTCAAACACCTAAATCTCCAAATTTCTAAAATCCTAAATTCTCTAATCTTCGTCCCCTCATAAAGTACCATTACCAAAAAATGTGAAATAAAACTATATTGTTATCGCGAAAGTATGCAATATATATTTAACGAAGGAGGAAATAATCTGAAGCTGTGTAGTTCGTTTTAATCGGAAGGGTCGTGATTGAATATGTTGGAACCATCTGTTCCATGGATTTAATCACTGTTCTACCAACACCTTCCTTGTCAACGTTAAAAATTAAATCTAACTGAATTTACTTTCCTTAATTGTTCGCAAATTGCTGCGAGCTTTTAAACCTTTTTATTTCAGAGGAGTTTAATTTGACGTTGCAAAGCTTAATTTTTGTGATATTCCTGGAACATACTTGGCGAGAAAGACTTACTGTTAGTATAATTGTACATTTTATACGCTCGAAGCAGTCGTACAAATTGATTTTCATTGTTCGAAAAATCTGAAATCAAGTTCACAAATCTTCAAAATACATTTTCATCTTCTGATATAGCCAAACCTTCGAATCTTAAGTCTGTAGTTTCCCAGAAAATTTCAAACCCATCTGTTGTAATGTATGCACTAAACACTTGAACACTTATAATTTTCTGTGAACTATAATAATAGTAAATTGTAATTTTTGTATTAAAGTAATGCGTGACATATGTTAATGAACATGTTTATCCATACAAGGTTGTTGCATAAGAAAATTCGAGGACACCTTTGATTAGCCACTGCCTGAATTTTAGCAGCATACAATACAAGCAATACAAGCACAAGGTACTAAGTACTGATTACGTGGAACCTTTGGAATGTTTGTATCACTGGAAAAAATATTATTTATAATTTTGTGTATATCTGAAAGTATGGAATTCGATGACAGTGACTGCCAGAAAAAGATCTATAACTCATAGTAAATATTTAACTTTGCATAACAGATTATATAAACTTAAACTGTATGAAATAAATAACACAACTATAAGAACCCTCACTTAATAATACATTCGTAGAAAAAATAAGAATGTACGACACTAATATTTTAATTAAAAAATTTCAACAACAACAAATATTTCTGTTTAAAGCAAAGAATGCTATCGCACTTCACCTCTTTGTCAAAGTTACGAAACTTTTACCACAATGTTTGACACATATTCAAAACACAATTTGACAGGTTTCACACTAAAAGTTTCACAACTGAGTACCGAAGGTCTGCGCCTTTTTAAATAAGAATACTAAAACGAACAAACTTTACCGAACCGATTTTTCCAATTTAAATTTCAAATACCGCGCTTTGAAATGCAAATTTGCTGACAAGGATATCTATAACAAATATTTATCGAAACAATTCGGCGGACATCGTTACGTTACGTGGTTTATAACAATTTACCTATTTTAGTGCTAATACGGTTAACGGAAACCACGTTCAGTTTTCTTTCAACCGATTTTCTATTAATTTTAATAATTTATGTAGACGAAGTCGGAATAAATTTCCTCCGTTCTATCTTTCTGTCAGTTATTTAACTGTGTCTATCAGTTACCTGCTTTGTAAATTGTTTGACACGTCAAGGTAAAGGCGAAGGTTATAGTATTATAGATCATTCGCTTTGAACTCAGTTATTATAGTAATAAAAATTGTGCTAATTTAAAAAATTGTGCTATTTTAAATTGTGCTATTTTTAAATTGTGCTATTTTAAAAAAATTTAATGATCTTGAAATCTTCGAAAAAATGAGAATTTCTTAACCACCGTATTTGTTCGTTTGAACAAAATGTTTCCTATTGATATTTTCCTGTTATACAAAAATAAGCAAGATATTTAATTTAGGTACCCTGCATATAAAATTTACATTAAACCTATTAGCGACCAAAATAACCGTTCAATTAATTTTTTATCTTAAGTTACAGGTGTAAGTTTAGTGTTAAATTTACAAATTCGACGAAAATATTATACGAATAATTTTGAATTAGGATATTAATTAAATAGGTTGTCATTTGGTTAGGAAACGGAAAACTTGAAACACGGGTCCTTGAGTAAGGATCAATAACAGCCGATACCGGTCAAGATAACGTAAGGAAAAAGAAAATGGAAGCGGCACATGTTGTATTGGGTTAATGGAAGTATAACTATATTGCGTGAGCGGCATCGAAGAAAGTTCTTCCGTGTTGTCTGCAGCATGACTTTATACCCTGTTGTGTAACATTTCCTGTACAAACTCTCTCCGTTCCTTCGGTCTTTTCTCCGTCGTTAGCTCCATTTCTTTCTGCTCTCGGAGCTTTCGGATTTCGCGAAACCGGTTCGCCGAATTTCACGGAAGAAAAAATGCATCGCGGATGAAAGTTCATGCACCTGGTGCATGGCGAAAAATTCAGAGATCATCAAACATTAATTTCATCGAAAATAATCGACCGAAAATATGATTCGTAAGAATTGCAAGTTCAATATAATTGTATAGATGAGAAGGAAAAATGTTATCTGATCATTCTAAAATTAAATTTAGAGATACTTGTAAAATTAAATAAGTTATGATCGTGTTTACAAATATAAATTTTCAAAACCCCAAATTCTTAAATTTTCAAATTCCTCAATTTCCAAATTTTGAAACCCCAAATTCCTAAATTCCTAAATTCTGAAACCCTGAATTTTTAAATTCCTAAATTTCTAAATTTCCAAATTTTCAAAGTTCCAAATCTTCAAATGTCCAAACTCTCGATTCAAAATTCTCTTTAAGTTACCCGTCAAAATTTGTTAATTTAAAATCCATTAAGTTTGTTTACTATTTTAATTTTAAAAAGTGGACTATGTTCAAGGACTTTCGACCGGAATCTTTTCAAGTAATAAGATTGTTTTTTTCGTCAAATTGAGTCATGGACTGTTCGTCCTGTATTAACTAGTTGTCTGTGCATACAAGAATTTTAAGTTTTCTTCGTCATTGATATTCTTGCTAATTTGTTTAATTCGACTGCGTACACAAAGTTTCAATATAATATTATTCTGTCGAATTTTTAATTTAACTTATAATCTTTAATTTAATTTAATTTTTAGTTTAACTTATAATTTTTAATTTAACTTATGTTATTGCTACAGCGATGCTGTTTGAAATGTACGTTCTGTTTTCTTCTCTGTTTGTTATTGTTTGTATCTAATCTGTCAGATCAGCCTCAGCATACGTAATATATTAACTAATCGATTATCAAAAGATCTACATAATGTTTGGAGGTTCATAACTTTCACTTTTTTGTTTTCTTTTTACAGAGCTGGTGATTTTATATTTTTAACACAGCAAGTCCCTTTGCTGTGTTTCATCTTAATTTAGGAACCTCTTCGAGTATAATAATGACAACTGTAATAATGTAATAATCGCATTAGATTATGGTAGTTCAAAACATTACTAATACTAATATTAACAAAATATTAACAAGATACTAGTTTCGATACTACAAAAAATAGTAGTATGAAATATCCTATATACTAAGTATATCTATAGGGTATAATATCTACATACGTAATCATCTAGCTTATTATCATCTATGATAATAATATTAAAACTTCACAGAATTACAAACGGTATCTTTTGTAAATTTTACCCACTCTATACCGATCACCGATAAATTACAAGTGGTTGACATCACTTGTGATGAATTGAAACTAAATGTAAAATTCACCCTGAGAGTATGAATGAAAGATTGCACAGTACAGAAAATGATGAAATAATTCGATAGAAAGAAGAGCGTAACGATAGAAAGAAGATGAAAGATATCAAAATTTTAATTTGCCTACCGGTTATACTGTTTACACTCGGTTTTCTCGTGGAAAGCACGAACTTAACGAAGCGGAGAGTGGCACCGTCTATACGCAACTGAAATCAGGCCCACTATTCTATCCCCCTAAATACTTTTGGTCTGTTAACACCGCCATCCCTTCTACTGATGCAGGCCTTTCATTGACGTAACTACTTATACAGCAAAATTCTGCTTTCAACTTTTTCTTTAAGTATCTTAAAAATTACCATTTACATGATCTATTAAATTTCAAAGGTCACGAACGTAGAGTAGTAAACTCTCGGTTAAAACAATTTGTTTAAGTAAAAAGTCTTTTTACGTCAAATGAAAAGTCAAATTTATTGATTGTCATAAACGATAATTTTATGTGATTTTATTTTAATAGATTTCATAGGAGTGCGAATATGTGTGAAAACGCTTCTTTTTGCCATCTAATGAGTATTTAT